TGTTAAGAAACTGTTTTGAATTGTGAAAAGAAAGTGTTCAGCTGAAAGCACACATTCCCTAAAAAGCAAGTTTTACAAACTAACCCACATGTGAAAATTGCAAATTGCCAGGGCTACTGAGTTTGAATGGACTAACAGTCTGCACTGAATTTTTGTCCTTGTTGTGAAACCAAGAGCTCAAGGTCATGGCTAGATGATCAATAGATCTTTCTGAAGTCATGGTACACTTTTTTAATGGCTCAGTTTCCCATCACTCATTGATTTATGGTTCCACTGTCATTCTGTATTGAGAAAAGTGAGGGAACAGCACCAAGAGGGGCAGGCAGCTGCACAATTGCCAGGAGTGGAATCTTCAAGACATAACAAGTAAAGTAGTCACAGTCAATGCAACTTGTCAGAACGTTTGAGTATCTATGAGAAAAGTGTGTGATAGCACTTCAATTTAAAAATTACATGGGATGGTGCAAGCTCCCTCTCCTGCCCTGAAAAGCCAACTGCTGTTTTGATCAGTAAAACAAACACCAATGCTGCCAAACTCAAGGAAATTGTGTTTCAGTCTAGGGGTATGAAACCTATGGCCTGCCTGGTGTTGCTGGACTACAGCTTCTATTATCCCTAACTATTGGCCATGCTGCCTGGGGTTGATGGGAGCTGCAGTCCAACATCTGGGAAGCTATAGGCTTCTTATACCTGTTTTAATACATGTGCACATCCCCAGTCTACTACTACTACTAATTTTATAATTTGTAACCCACACTCTAGGTGACTTCCAACTTATATAAAAAACATAATAAAACATTACACATTAAAAAGCTTCAGGGCTGCCTTCAGATATCTTCTAAAGGTTATATAGTTACTCATCTCCTTGACATCTGATGGGAGGGCATTCCACAGGGTGGGTGCCACTACCGAGAAGGCTCTCTGCCTGGTATAATAATAATAATAATAATAATAATAATAATAAATATATGAGAAACCACAAGCTCTTCACAGAAAGGGGGAGACTGGGAAACTAAATTCAAGTCCCTGTATAAACATTTTATATTTCCAAATCTGCTATTCTAAGTGTAGATTCCAATCTGTATGGTGAGCAATATCAGAAAGAATTTTCCTTCCTAAGGCAGAAACTGAAGCTAGATATTCAGTTCTACAGTTTTCAGTGTTACCTGGCTGGCTTTCCTTGAAGCCATTAAAATAATGCTACTACACCACAGTATGAATATTGCAGTTTAGTGCTTAAAGCAGGAAGGCTCAGGATTCAAACTGGGTTGCATCTGGCAGAACTTGAGTAATAGTTGCATGTCCAGGAACTTTTCCAATTTTTTTTCCTTGTGCAGCTTTTAAAATACAAATTATTGCCCAAGTGGAAACCAATGAGCCCCTGCAGGACGCTGGTTTTGCCGTCTTAGTTAAGCTCACCTGAACCAGCCTCCAAAGGATGGTGCAAGATCTATAGTTTAATGATGCACAATTGAACTGGCAACTCACTGGGAGTCAGCAGACAATGTTCAGCATAGAGATGCAATAAGCAAGGAAACCACTTTTTAACACTACAAACCATCTTTGAAAGTGAAGTCTCTGATACCAGGGCCAGTATCCAAAACAACAATGTAATTCATTTGGAATTTTGAGATTGCCTTGCTCAAACAGCAAATGGTGTCATTACAGTACCATGGAGAGCTCTGAGTGAGCTACTTGCTCCAGCAAGGACTGGAAATTAAATGAAGCCCCTTGAGCCTCTGCCTCAAAGCCAGGCTTCCTCAACCTCAGCCCTCCAGATGTTTTGGCCTACAACTCCCATGATCCCTAGCTAGCAGGACCAGTGGTCAGGGATGATGGGAACTGTAGTCTCAAAACATCTGGAGGGCCAAGGTTGAGGAAGCCTGCTCCAAGCCATCTCTCCTAGACGCCACCCACTATTGGCGAACTCACTTCTTAAAGGGTAACTAGACTTTCAACTCTTAGGAGGATTGCGGATTGCTGGTGAAAGTCCTAGGTGAAATTGTCTGCCACTGCACCAAACTACTGATCCATGAATGAAAAGCAGTGAAAAAATTAAAATACTTTCAAGGCTCAGCTGTTCCCACTGGTGCTTTTAACTATTCTGTGGCATATTCTGGAACCTTAGGGTGAAGGGTGGATAATAAATAATAATAAATCAATGTTTAAGTTATTTTCCAGATGCCACAGCTTTAACTATGGTTTAGTAACTATGGTTAATGTTCACCGTGGTTTAGCATTAAGTATAAATGAGGGCATTCTCCTGGGCTGTAGAAAGTATGTTGACTGCAGGGTCTAGGGTTTGTTTCATGGACATATGAATGAAAAATAGCTCTGTGTATATGATATTCCTTGTGATGCATGAAGTCTTAAATCTTTACAGAAATTCATGGAAGACAGAAGCACCACTAACAATGAGCAGGACAGAACAGGCTTCAGCTTCAAGCTCAGGGTCTCCTCATATATATACAGTGCTAAGAAGCCGGGACTGAGTGGATTTATTCACAATGGTGGTATGGCTTCTTCCCACCGGCATGCAGGAATATCCATTGTTGCAGGTACTATAAGGTTGCCATCTTTTTATGGGTAAAGGCTTTGTGACTTTGATAGCTGCATAAAATCAAGTGGTGATGCTTGCTGTAGCATAGAAATGTCAAAAGCTTCGTTGCTTTTCTAGTTCTCATGCAGCTGTTAATAGCACAGATCCTGTTTTAAGAAACTGTAGGCTGTAGGCTGTTGCTGTAGGCTGAATAAAGATAGATATAGCAATTGGATCTGCCATGCCTCCCTATGTGAATTCCCATGTCTCTAAATGACAGTGGTATATGTACCATGGACATATTCCCTGAAAAACCAAACACTCATCTGCTTTTCTCTCTATATAGAATAAGCTGTCTGCTGCTGGTGCAAATCGATGTTGTAATTCCATTGACTTCAAATGTCTCTTTCTCATCAGTCAAAAGGCTGTGGTTTTCTTCTGACAGCTTCAGCAAGGCCAGTGCCCAGAAGATTTCAAACCGGAGGACAGTACGAGAAAAAGAAAGTTCAGTTTATGTCGAGATTAGCCTGAAGAACAAAATGGGCTGAGAAGCGGCAGTGATGGAAACGGAGTTTGAGAAGTTCTGTCACATAATTACATAAAATGGGTCACGTAACCTGGGCCCTACTGAATCGTTCAGGGCTAATGGGAGCTGACTGGTGGAAATGTGGCTACTAGCATTCCTCTGGCTGATTACGGATGCTAATGAGAAAATCACATAGGGTACTAATTGGCACGCTCTCGTCAAAAGTAGCGTCTGCAGAAATGAAAATGAGCAAGAAATTGTGCACATGCTGTGTGATTCCGGTCCAACCAGACAAAAGTTAGAAGAAAAGTATTACTAATACCACAATGACCTCAGATAAACTCCTTGCTACATAATAATATTGTTATGATAGCTCAGGAAAATCTAGGGCTACAGGCAAGTGCTGTGACCCTTTGGAAAGCAAAGAATTTCTCCTTTCGGAAGCTATAAACATCATACTTTCTAATCTTGGTGAGTCAGAAGGAGCACAGAACCCTTGAGGCCTAGACTCCACATAGACTTAAGCAAAGCTTAAGTACTGGGATTTCTAGCATTGCAGCCATGGGAGGTTTCGTACTTGTTCTGGATATTTGGCCAAGAAACACCACCCCATTTGATGTGGCTAACAAAACAGATCTCCATCTCTTCAAGGTTTATTATGATGAACAAAGCATCCAGTTGCTAGTAGACACCAAAAAAATTGCCTAAAGCATAATTTAAAGCAGTATATATATATTTTGAGAGGGTGGGGGAGGAGGTGTCTCTCCTCAGGCAAAACATCTGAGGAATTTCCTGTGAATACAAAAGATCTGTGATAAGACCAGCAAATTATTCAGTGGTAGGGCTATACTTTCTTAACTTTGTATAAAATCTTGCAACTACATTAAGTTAGCCTGAAAGCGTATGATAACTGGTGGATAGATTGTCCCTGCATGGGAACATGAAAGCGGTTGGAGGCTTCTCTCCTACAGAGCAGTGAAAAATTACCTTTGTGTGTGTTAATGCTAGGAAGACTGAATGGGAAGTTCAGTCCTACTGCTCATGGTTGCCCATATAACTGTTAAGGGGGATTGTTGTACTATATACCAGCACAAGGGTAGGGAAACTTTTTCAACCTGATGGGTATGTATCTTCTGGATAACCTTCCAAAGGCTACATGACAGAGGTGGATGGGACCACAGGCAAAAGTTGGCAGAGCATTAAATGTGAATTCTACCCATTGAGAATATATAGAGCATCCTTCCCCACTCTGGTGCCCCCAAATCCCACTGGACCCAACTCCTACTGGCTCCAGCCAGCATTGCCAGTGGTCAGGGTGATGGGAATTGTAGTCCAAAACCATCTGGGAGGTACCAGGTCTGGGAAAGGCCACCATAGGTAAATCAGCATGTTTTACTTTGTTTCACTCTCCCTCTGATGGTTTCTTTCAAACCGTACATGTTTATGCAACCTTCATTGTTCCAAAAATACTGTATTTTGGTGTCACAACTGGCTCTGCTTACACTATGTCTCTTCTATCTGGAGGAAGAGAGGGAGGGAGAGAGGGAACGGAACAGAGGCAATGGAATAATGCTTTTATCCTCTTCTATCCTCACTGCTGTACAAATAAGATGAAAGATAATAAATTACAGGAGGTAAAGCTTCAAGAGAATTACTCCCTGTCCTCATGAATAAAAATAAAATAACATTTTGACTGATGCAATCCCCCCCCCTTTCCAAAATGATTATTCCCATGTATCTGGTTCCATGTTTTAATTCAGCTTTGACACCTCCAGAATGCAGCAGGTTGCTGCTGCTGCCTCCCTTTTGTTGGCTTCTTCTTGTTAGACACTGTCCGTCTGCAGAATTCAGTGGTGTATCAGTTCCTTAGGAAGTATTGAAAATGATTGCCTGAGCTTTCAGAATGATGTGCCGTGGGAGAGATGTGACATATGACTAGTAGCTAGGCATTAGCATCTAGAATAAAGATGAGAAAGAGAGAGGTAAAAAAGGAGATACTGAAATAGAATGAATGGTCTATTTTAGGAAGCAGCACATTTTGGGTACACCTGCGGAGACTTTGGAAGTTCTACTGAAGGACAGGGCATGAACTCGCTGGATGCATATTTCCTTTCTGATCTACATTCAATGCATACCCTCCATTCTAGCTTTACAATAGGATTTCTCTCCCCCTCCCCAGTCTCCCCACAACCACAGGAAGCCCTTTCATAGAAATACAGTGATACATCAGGTTACATATGCTTCAGGTTACATACGCTTCAGGTTACAGACTCCGCTAACCCAGAAATAGTACCTCGGGTTAAGAACTTTGCTTCAGGATGAGAACAGAAATCGTACTCCGGCGGCGCGGCGGCACATTAGCTAAAGTGGTGCTTCAGGTTAAGAACGGACCTCCAGAACGAATTAAGTACTTAACCTGAGGTACCACTGTATTGGCATTTTGCACCTGGCCAAGTGTATTTGTTTAACTCCTTAGCACAGTGGTGGGGAGCCTCATGCCCCTCACCCCAGTTCTCTCCACCTGGCCCTTGGACCTCTTCCCAGGCCATCACTTTGCTTGTGCCACACCCTCCTTGTGTGTTTTTGCCTGAATGGAATGTGTCCTTGAACTCTGATAACGACCCTTGCATGTCTGGGTGGAGAATACAGAGGGGTGTGTGAAGGTGTGGAGAAACTGCCTGGCACTACAAAGATACATACACTACATCCACCCACTTTTACCTCTGGCTTCACCTAGCAGTGGCGTGTGGCCCTCAGGTTGTCTAGAATAAAATGTGGCCCTTGGGCTGAAATTTTGTCCCTACCCCCGCTTTTAGACCATAATGCAATGCAGTTTATAAATACTTACATAATCCCTCTTGAACTCAGTGGAGAATACTTTTGTACAAGATTGTACTGTTACTCCCCCTTTTTTTTGGGGGGGGGGACAACTTAAGGACACATATCCACATCTAGACTTTGTTTTTGATGGCTTTTGGGGTTGAGAGTTAATGTTCCTTTGCTGTGTTCTTTTCCTGCACTACCCCGCCTTGTTCTTTCTATTGTTTTGGTCTATTTTTATGATTTCATTTGCTTGTTCTCTCTCTCTCTGCTTTTAAACCTTGTTAACTAGGTTCTATTTTGATTTTAGCAGGAAGGTGGTGTTTAAATATTTTAGAATAAACAAAAATAATTATTCATCTGCTTGCTATGTCATCTCTACCCCTTCCCTGCTGTGTTCCCTCCACTGCCCTGCAAAAACCACAAGACTTGTATGATCACCGGGGCAGAGTTTTATGATTGCTATTCCTCCAGCCCTTTATACTCCCCAGAAGCATCTGGCTAGAAAGCAGAATGCTAGACAAGATGCACATTTAGTCTGACCCAGCACTGCTTTTCTTATATTCTTACCTTTATTTACATCCACCACATACCATTTTGGTTCAGAAATGTTTCCTATAGCGCTCTTAACATAGCCCAGATCCATGACATGCATTTGAAGCACACTGAAGACACATTTTAAAACACATGGCTTTCTCCAAAGAATCCTAGGAACTGTAGTTTGTTGAAGGTGTTGGGAATTGTAACCCTGTGAGGTGGAAACTACATTTCTCAATATCCTTTGGGGAAGTCATGTGCTTTCAATGTGCAGTGGCTGTGCTTTAAGTGTGGATCTGTCCTAAGTTAGTTTTGTCCATTAATTTCAATGGGCCTACTCGAATGAGTACAATTAGTATTGGACAGGAGTCTTGGGTTATATTGGATTATTTGCAGCTAAAACTGAAATTCATCAGATGTAGACCAGCCATCATGACAATATGAAAGTGAGTACGTGGGCATTCTTCCATTTAACAGCTTTCACATAAATGGAAAACCACTGACAAAATATTGTTATTGATGCTATCAGGCATGGATTAGGTGCATGAGAATGAGAAGGCTTCTTCTATGACTCTCGAATGAAGATACCCTAATAAGAGTGAGACTGTAATATACCTCCTTTTCAGCTTCTTGCAGGAACCACAGAGAGAGAGTATAATTCACAGAATGTAAATATCGAATGATTTTATGAGTAGGAAAATGCTTACAACATTGATCAAAACGTTCCATCACAATAACTACCGCGGTGATAAGCGCTACACAAATCTATAAACTAGCATACAAACACACAGAGAGAGAGTTTTGCAAAGCAGGCAAGGTGCAATAAAGTACAGTCACACAAATATACTGTAAACAGTCCAGGATTTGTGTAACCTGCACATTATAAGTAGAGATGCCTGAAAAATCAAGTCTTTTTAAAAAATTCTAATAGGAAGTGACCTGATCTGTACCTCCTGCACTCCTGTGGTGACCAGAATGTAGGCACATTTTCCAAATGTTCCAACCTAATTCCCAGCTAATAATAATAATAAACCAAAAAAATAAAACACACATAAAATGTGTATTTTGAGAGGAAATATGTTACAATATGTACTTCAACTGATATTTAAACGCAAGTTTTCATGATTAAAAAGAAGCATTCCTTGTAGAAATGCACACATGAAAGCAGCATCTTCTGCTTCTTTCTCCACTGTTACTTTTATCAAGTGATACAGTTCTGGAACATTTGAGAGGCATTGTGTCCTTCCATGGAGTAACTTGTGAACAGGTCAAATTCCCAGGTAAGGTCATGCCCTTAAATGACCTGTGGCTTAGCCTTCTCCTGCACTTGGGTCACTTTTTCAGTCCTAAGCTTGATTGGTTACAGTCCTTTCTGCCCAACCAACGATTAGAGAACTTTCTATCCAGTGAAGACCTTGAAATAGGGAAACATTTGCATTTGTTATTGATTTTGGTAATGCTGTTTGCTTGCCACCCCATCATATAAAGCTCATGTGTGCTTGGGAAAAGGGAGAAATGCTGTGATGGAGGTGTTTGAATGGATGCACCAACATAAGCTGAGCGTCCTGACTCCCACCCCACAAAACAATAATGGATGCTCTTACTTGTAAAGAAGTAGTCTTTATTAAGGCAGAGCAATGATACAGACTCATCAGCAGGAAATGATCTAATCCAGTACTAGAGCTCTCACAAGAAGAAGCTCTCACTACCCGAAGGAGTCTCAAAGCGGCTAACATTCTCCTTTCCCTTCCTCCCCCACAACAAACACTCTGTGAGGTGAGTGGGGCTGAGAGACTTCAAAGAAATGTGACTGGCCCAAGGTCACCCAGCAGCTGCATGTGGAGGAGCGGGGAAGCAAACCCTGTTCACCAGATTACGAGACTACTGCTCTTAACCACTACACCAGGAATGAGCCTGGTGCAGGAGGAAAGGTCAAAGTTCATGAGTCCAGGATCAGTGACAAGCAACTTCTTCATATTCTGACACTCTTTAGTATGGCAAAGCAGCTTTCAGATATATACAGAAATATAGAAAAAAAATATCAATTTTACATTTCCTTCAAACCATTTGATCATTAAACACACACACACACACTAAAATGTCCATGCCCTGGCTTCCTGAATAATTCCTATAAGGTTAGTATTTAAGTAGCAACTAGTACATAAAGTTTATAAATATAATTTAGAGACTCATTTGTTACTTTTAAGTGTTGACTTGCAATCAACATGTGTCACTTCCCTGATTTTTACAGTCCAACGTGGGAATCACTGTGTCTCTCTTTATGAACCATAAATTTCTCTCTTAAATGTCAACATCTTCAATAAATGCATTAACATCTTATCCAAACAGATTGTTCCAGGAGATTTAAAAATGTTTTTGCACATTTTTATATGCAGTAAAAGGGCCATGGAGATGGCCTGTTTGTTTTGATTCTCTGCTAATTTGGCAAGGATGGCAGCTCAGGGTTTCATTACGGGCCAAGATCATACTGCGTAGGACAAACTTTTAATGAACGCCCACCACCAGGATGAAGGTTGTCTAATTAAACCACAAGCATCCCAAATATGGAAATTCCCATCTCTGCACAATAACTAATGATATCTAAAAAAATAGATGCAAAATGAAGCAGAATCATCAATGTTTGCATCTGGACACTACAACCACCCCTTATCATGTGGATATCTTTTCAGATTTCTAACTAGGGAACACAGGATAGAGGATGATTTATTCTGAAGGTAGAGGCCTCCTAACTGTGTAGGAGGTGAACGGCCCTCCTACTGCTGCTGGAGAACTTTCCATGTGACCTCATGGAACAATGTGACCTCTGGGAACAATAAGAACAGAGTCTATGCTACAATAGGGATGGGCAAATTTGCTTATTTTGGTACCTCTCAATTTCTCAGTTTTCCAGTCTTGTGTTCAGTTTGCCACATTTCCATAACTGTTCGTAGTATTTTTTTAAGTCATCATGAATATGCATCAGCAGTATTGTGTGAATTTCTCCTAATAAACTCATGTTTGTATGTCATTTTGCCTAATGTACACATTTCCCCACAAGCAATTTACCTTAATGCATTATTATCTGTTATTTTCTCTGCTATATGCAGTTTTATGGACCTGTTCCCTAATATACAAATCTACAACTATACAACTGCTAGGAGTTGTTTCCTTTTGTTTTCCAATATATTTCTTATCAATCAAAAAATTGGCGCAAGCCAATTTTTATTTTGAAAGTGTGGTTCAGAGAAAAAAGCTAGAGAACCACTGGCTTAGAGTGTTGGACTAGGATGTGAGATACCAGGGTTAAAAAGCTCCCCTCAGACATATTGCTCACTGGGTGTCCGTGGGCCTGTCACTGTCTCTCAGCCTAAGCTGCCTCACAGGGTTGTTGTGAGGGTAAAATGGGGAGAGGAAGAACCTTGAACTCATTAGAGGAAAGGTGGAATACAGTGGTACCTCAGGTTACAGACGCTTCAAGTTACAGACTCCGCTAACTCAGAAATAGTACCTTGGGTTAAGAACTTTGCTTCAGGTTGAGAACAGAAATTGTGTGGTGGCAGCGCTGTGGCAGCGGGAGGCCCCATTATCTAAAGTGGTACCTCAGGTTAAGAACAGTTTCAGGTTAAGAATGGACCTCCAGAACAAATTAAGTTCTTAACCCGAGATACCACTGTATAAAGCTAATATTAATAATACATTGCAGCATGTATGTATGTCAGTCTTTAAGGAGTCACAATATTTTGCCACATATTTAATTGACCTCATTGGTCAGAACGATAAATACGTAGCAAACTTTTATTCAACTAAAATGCTGTTCCAGATTAATTTGGCATAACGATGGACACAACTTTTGATAAAATGAAGGGTTATAAAGACCATTAGCAGAAACCTTTCATCCAATATTTACAAAATGGTTCTTCTGTTTCTTTCATTAGTGTTTTCCTAACCGGCTAAATTCCATCATCTACGGAACTTGGAGCCTTAGACATGACCCTTGTACAGCTTTGACGATGGTAAAGTGAGGCATATTCAAAATGGACTGTTGCAGCTTTGTATGCAAATGGTGCATCCATATGGATCCTGCATTCTTCTTTGTGCCAGGTGCATTGTATGCATGACACCTCCTGTTAATAAGAGAAGGTTACACACATTCAGCCAATCAAGGAAGTTGACAGGCTGTGCTTTCTTAATCGCTTTATAATTGGATTCCTCTCTAACCTGTATTGTGTGCATTTATCAGCAAAGTTCCCATCAAAATAGGTCAACGAAAGCATTCCCCAGATCTCTGCTGCCCTTTTCATAATGGAGATTGCTCATTTACACTTTGGTAGTCCAGGGGTTTTCTTTGTGGCCTCTGTGACTGTCATAGCATTTGTTTTAGATGAAATATACTTGCACAAAACTGACAGGTTGCCCCCAAGCTGTACTAGAATACGGGCTAGAATAACTGAAATCCCAAGGGCAATTGTTTTACAAACCTTTAGTTTTGTTTCCTTTTAAAAAATGAAGTGCATATTACTTTCCCCTTTCTTTCCCATCAATAATGAACTCTGTTCCTACAGCAAAGAAAGCATTATTGATTTATTATCCAGAGTCTCCTACATCTGGTCTCCTGCACTATGGCAGGATTCACTAAAAATCCATCCTGGACAGCATAGTGTGCTGGGGAAGAGCCAAAATGGGAACTGGTTTTCATGAACATTTTCATGGATTCCTTTGGGGAAGTGGCACTGAAAGAGGAAAAAGGTGCTCATCCATGCAGAGTGAGGGGAATCATTGATTCAGTTGGCTGGGATCACCCATGTGGCTGATACAAGAAGAATTGCTTACATTCTCAGTTGGCTTTTTTTGTCCTCAGTTGGTACCCTTCTGTCTTGGGAAATGGTCTCGGCAAGAGTTTACCTTTGGGGAGTGAAGTCAAACCATTGCAGAGTTACAGTGTCTGCTGTGGCTGTAGAAGCCGATACAGGAGAGACATGTTTCGTTGCAGCTGGGGCAGATGAAGGTGTCCGGTTGTGCTGATGCAGGCCTTTCTTCTTTCTGCTATCCTCCCAGTGGTCATTCCTCCTCTGGTCAATGCCGGGGACAGATGACTTGACCAGTTGCCTCCAGGCACTGAGGTCATTTGCAAGGGAATCCCACATAGTGAGGTTAATGTTGCCAGCCTTCATGTCATGTTTGCTGACATATTTGTAATGCAGAGTTTGCCTGCCAATGGCCTGGTACCTTAAGCCAGCTCCCTGTAGAGCACATACTTGGGAATCCTGCTGTCTTTCATTCTGTGGGCATGACCAAGCCTGCATAGATGTCACTGAGACAGAGGTACAAGCATGCTGAGAATGAGAGAGCACATCTTTGTTTGGAATTCATCCCCAATGCTGACATTGACATCTCCCAGCAGGAACATGTGTTCACAGGCTGGGACCTTCCTGACAGCCTGGTCTACTTCCTTGTACCCCAGAAGGAGCATGGCATGTCCCCCGCCAGAGATACTGCTTCTTCCCTAACACTCCATACAACCTAGTGATGCCATCATAGAGCTCAGTCAGATTGACAGTGTAGTGCCTTGATGACATTAGTTCAGTATGTAATCTCTGAGAGGTTGATATCACTCTAGGAAGGTGAAAGAAACCCTAACAAAAAATACTGGTATCAAACAGCAGAAGATAGGGAAAACAATGGGTGATATCTAATGCTAGTATACTCAAAGTAGACCCACTGAAATTAGTGGGCATGACTAACTTAGATTCATTATCTTCAGAGCAGACACTCTAAGCAGAACTTAGTTTGATACAACCCAATTACAGCAAACAAGACCTTTTTTTTAAGAGGCTTTTTTTTTTTTTTTGGAAATACTTCTGCCCTCCAGAAAGCTCTTTATGAGCACAGAAATAAAAAAAAGGAAACTCTGGGGGTATCCATGGCAGGTACACAGTTGTTCTCCTTTACCAAGCTTTAGGTAGGTGATTCCACAGCTTCCTTAGCCGTCTACTGTATGCCAGAGTTGCTCTTAACACTTCCAGGGGAAATCAAATTTTTATGTAAGCACACAGCTTTCTAGTTTGCAAATCAATACGATCATATTGCAGATTAAGCTGTTTGCCAGGAGACCTGGGACTTGTTGAAAAGGGAACCTCATAATCTGGAACATAGCCTAGTAATTTATCCAGGGCTGTGGGCTCTAAGGCACAGAAAAGAAGATCACATCCGCTCCCTGTGATGGGCAGGTGATATGAAAGCTCTGGATTGGCCAGGGCTTCTATAAATAGTACTAGGAGAAGGGGTGTTGGGAAACTTCAATGGAAACTGGAGTGGAAATTGCCAATGTTCACTTATTCATCCCATGTATGGAATGGAAATCAATTTGTGGATATGATTGGTATTCATTGTTGTTGCTTCTTTCATATGCAATCGATTACATTTTTTCCTCTCGATTTGTATCACATTGCTGTTGCATTGAAATGAATAGAGATCGTGTAATGACAAAGTACATCATTTATGTAACTTATGTAAGTGATGTAATTTTGGAACACATAAGCATAGTTTTTAGAAGAACACGAGTTGCAGTGAAATGGAAACAGTGCTGCATGTGATGAATGTGTGGTGGAGCAGAAAATGATGCCTTCTTACATCCTTAACTAGAAGCCTGGCCTTCTGCCCTCACCTGACCAACGGAGCAGACTCCTTTATTCTATTACACTCCAGTCTCCAGCAAAGGGCACTGGGGGCTGTGGGTTACACACACTCTGTGTCAGGTGTGAACAGGGTCCCTAGAATCAGCTGTAAAACAACGGCTCAGCTGGGGAGGAATTAAGGAAAAGGGTATCTCTGGGCACATGTAAGCCCAGAAATTTGTGATCAGTACCAGATAAGTCATTTTACATGCACAAAAATACACTCCCCATTTTCATGGGGCCTAATTATTTTCAGGAGCCTAATTTAAGTGTGGGGGAGCATATCCTCCAACATTTCTCTGATGAAAATAGGGACATCCCATTCCATAATGATAATTTTACTATTTATACCCCACACATCTTATTGGGTTGCCCCAGCACTCTGGGTGGCTTCCAACATATATATATATATAAACATAACAAACCATTAAACATTTTTTTAAAAACTTCCCTATACAGGATTGCCTTCAGACGGCTTGGGGGTCGGATAACTCCATTTCCATTTCTCCAACATTTCTCCAATGAAAATAGGGACATCCTAAGGAAAAGCAGGACATTCTGGGATCAAGTCAGAAACCGAGATGGCTTCTCTAAATCAGGGGCATCCGTGGAAAATGACACTTGGAGGGTCTGGGGGTGGGGAAGCATATTCTAATTGTTGCTATTAATAGGGGGTCACAAACTCTTTGCGAAACAAGTGAGATCTACCAACAGATCTCAGTCTGCCTTTTGCCCACCCCTGCTAAAGGTTTGATTCCTCATAAAGCTACCCATGGCCTCTGCCTGGCCCTGAGACACCAAGCCAAGCCTACTTGAATCAAAGTGCTCTTATCAGTGCCAGATATAGAAAAGGCTGGAAAGGGAGAGCTGAGCGCCTGTTCATGAGTCTGAATTAATGGATTACATTTCCTCCTCCTGCCCTGAATCAGGTTAGAATATGTAACACTGATGGAACATAAAGGTAAAAATTCACTTGATCTCGATGTGACTACAGAGCATGAAAGCATGGTCTCCTGAGTGTTCTGGCTTCTTGGGTATTAAACAGGAGATGTCAGAAAAAAGTTCTGAACCTCCGTGGACTCAAGTATAAAACCCTAGATGAGAGGGAATATTATAAAAAGCAGGTATTGAAGGAGCTTCAATAACAGAATGAAAATGTCAGAAACCTCATTCTACGCAGAAGTTGTTGGGAAGTTGTCAGCAAGAGCAGATATATGAGTAATTGCTCATGAATGGGAGCTAAGAGTTCACTCCTGCCCTTTAAAAAATATGCAGCCTCTACCTGTTGTGGGGGGACGTGGGTGGCACTGTGGGTTAAACCACAGAGCCTAGGACTTGCCGATCAGAAGGTCGGCGGTTCGAATCCCTGCGACGGGGTGAGCTCCCGTTGCTCGGTCCCAGCTCCTGCCCACCTAGCAGTTCAAAAGCACATCAAAGTGCAAGTAGATAAATAGGTACCGCTCTGGTGGGAAGGTAAACGGCGTTTCCGTGTGCTGCTCTGGTTTGCCAGAAGCGGCTTAGTCATGCTGGCCACATGACCCGGAAGCTGTACGCCAGCTCCCTCGGCCAGTAAAGCGAGATGAGCACCGCAACCCCAGAGTCAACCACGACTGGACCTAATGGTCAGGGGTCCCTTTACCTTTACCTGTTGTGGGACTAAAATAGCACGCACATACATGTACACAGATATGTATGCAACAACCTTACCGTGATGAGCTATAGGAAGAAAAAGGATGGACACAGAGATCACAAAGACTGAAACAGACATAAATAGCTGGACGCTCACAGAAAGGAAGAAGTTAACTCTTGTCCCAACACGCAGGAAAATTCTTGGGCATGATTCTTAAATAGAAAGTTGATGAACACAGGCTTTCAGGTGGAAATGTATTTGGCTCAGGATTTGTTGAAGGATGTCTAGGGTAGAGACGGAGAGCCAGAACCAAATGGGAATTTGATGTGTACTGTGCTGGAGCTCAATATCAGATAATATGTTGTTGTCTGGGACAAGCAGAACAAGGGAAGTGAGAATTAGGGCTCAGTTGACTGGGTACTTTGTGCACGGCACACATACAATGTGATACGAAAAGGGGGAGATTTGGAGGAGCAGTTAAGTACTGGCAAGTCCATCATTACTATGTATGGAATACATATATGGTAATGATGTATGGAACATATATTTAGAGGGGTGGAGGATTAAGCTCAGGGTGACCCCTTGATTTGGAGTCTTGTTGGAGAAACTGATGGGTAACACCTCTACCAGCAAAACACCACATCTCTGGAAATGTATGACACTTTTATTTTGCATTGTCTTTTATTTGTTTGTGTGAAGCTGTGTGAGTGCATTCAACAAAATTTGTTACTTTGCAACACAGTTGTCTTGGTGAATAGATCCACAGGGACTGGAGAAGGTAAAATGGACAAGGAGGTCATTTGAGGCTCCAGTCAAGTCCTGGCACTTCATTCAAGAATCCCATAAAAATAAAAACCTACCATCTTCACCTGTATGTTGTGTGATGCTGTGAGGCCCCCCAAAGGTATGTACATATTTTTGTACACATCATTTGCAAGTGTAATGTTCATTGCTAACATGAATACTATTGCCAGTAAGTACTGCTAGTGAATTAAAATTAAATGATCATAAAATCATGCACAGAGAGCAGCATAGCGTTATAGAATGGAGTGATGGAGTGGAAAAGATCCAGTTCAAATGTCCCCTCAGATGTGAACTCATCTTAAGCAATCCCCTATTTCTCAACCAACCTCCACCCCCCGTCCATCTTTGATCTAATGCAGGGAGATAATACTGCCCTAAATTACAGGGAAATTGTCATGATTATCAAGGGAAATACATGTGAAGTACTTTGGGCCATTTAAAAAAAAAATGCTTTCTTAATAAAATATTTGGAATAATTTATTAGGAAACTTATTTTGCAGTACAGTGGTACCTCGGAAGTTGAATGGAATCCGTTCCGGAAGTCCATTCAACTTCCAAAATGTTTGGAAACCAAGGTGCGGCTTCCGATTGGCTGTAGGAAGCTCCTGCAGTGAATCAGAAGCCGTGGAAGCCGGGTCAGACATTCGGGTTCCAAAGAACGTTCGCAAAGCGGAATACTCACTTGTGGGTTTGCGGCGTTTGGGAGCCAAAACATTCGACTGCAAGGAGTTCGGGATCCAAGGTATGACTGTGCTCCACTTGTTAAAGGTCCCATGATATATTGCCAATAGTAGCAATATGAAAAATGCAGAGAAGGCTCTCAGGACCCATCCACATTTACTTTTTGGCCCACACTTTCTAGGCGCAGGTCTGCCCTTTCAAGCTCTGTGTCCAAACACTTTTTCTTTGTTTGCCCCTCCGCTTTCCCCAGGAAAATCTGCTCTTTAATGCAGAATCGGAACAAATGGCAATTTGTGTTCCCTGCACATTGCCGTTTGCTCTGATTCAGCAGTAAAGAGCGAGTTTTCATGGGGCAAACACAGACTTGTGCCTAGAAATGTGGCACAAAAGGAAGTTCGGATGAGCCCTTTGTTTGTGATCTAAGGCAACGTTTCCCAACCTTTTCCTGACTGTGGCTCCCTTATGACCTTGTTTCCTTCTTTTGCCCCCCCATGGGCATAGCCAAGGGAGGGGGCCAGGGGGCAGCTGCCCCCCAAATAAGTAAAAACCAATACAAATCAATACAAATCTGAAGTTCTGCTCCCCCAACAAAAGTCTTCCCCCTAACAAAAATCCCGGCTGTGTCCATGCCACACACACCCATTATTCCAGTAGAAAGGTAGCTATTTAAATGTTTTGTTTGTAAATAGAACATATTTTATTAATAACTTTTATAATTTATACAAAATACAATTGCATAAAATGATAGGAACATAATGAAATACTGTTGAAGCAGGAAAAACAAAGAATCATAGAGCTGGAAGAGCCCAAGGATCATCTTTCTAGTGCAATCCCCATGACAGATGGCCATTCAACCTCTGCTTAGAAACCTCCAAGGAAGGAGAGTCCTGGACCTTCCAAGGGAGATCCATCTTCCATGTATTATAAAAAGCAAGCAACACATATTTGACCCCAGTTATTTGACAAAGAGAGGGAAACCATTAGCTACAGTCCAAAAGGCGCATATGGAGTTTTGTATATATAAGAGAATTTTAAAAAGCCAGTGATCCTCACTGACCAGGTGCAAAAAGCTATTGTCTTCTGGAGGAGCTCTGGCTGCCTAGGTGAAACACTATAGTCCCACACACCCTTACCTGGGAGTAAGCCCACTGCACTCAGTGCTGCTTTCTTCTTAGACAGCTATTTACTAGATGCAAGTCAGCCTTTTTAAAAAACTCCCCCCAGATGCTATTTTTGTCATTTAACATGTCCAGGAAAAATCGGACGTATGGTAACCCTAGCTGGGGTGGATTTCACCCTGCGCCTTGCAGAGCCAAGCTCAGACTGCCACCAGGCCCAGCACTGGTGGCAGCAATAAACAGCTCTGGCTCACCCAGCCCTACCCATTGCTTGCCTAACACCACACTTACCTGAACTGAGTGTTCTGGATCACAGGCTCTGCTGGTCAAAGCCAGAACCTCAGTGATCGCCCCCACCTGCTAGAAACAAACCAGGACTGCTCCAAGAAAATGGACGTGGCAAAAAGGAGCATTAGGCCCTAGTGGGCCGTCCCCTTACCCGCTTGTGATTGGCCAAGCAGATAGCCAGCGAATCAGGATTTTTAAATAAAATAATAATAATACAGTGGTACTTCGGGTTACATACGCTTCATGTTACATATGCTTCAGGTTACAGACTCCGCTAACCCAGAAATAGTACCTCAGGTTAAGAACATTGCTTCAGGATGAGAACAGAAATCGTGCTCCGGCGGCATGGCGGCAGCAGGAGGCCCCATTAGCTAAAGTGGTGCTTCAGGTTAAGAACAGTTTCAGGTTAAGAACGGACCTCCAGAACGAATTAAGTACTTAACCCGAGGTACCACTGTACTTTTTTCTTCCTCACTTCTCACTTCCCTCTGTAGCCCCCTAACCTCTTGCTATGGCCCCCTATTTCCACATTTTTCACCTGTGGCCCCCTTGGAATATCCTGCCCCCCCCGGGACCATATGTCCCCTGGTTGGGAGACACTGATCTAAGGGAATGAGGAATTTCACATAAGAGAAAGTGTCACTTTGCCAAGTACAAACAAAGGAACAAAATAGAAGACCGATGCACCTTTAAAACATGACATATGCTTTGGGGGCAAACTGAGGAGGAAAGCTTTATGAATAAAATTATTATTATTATTATTTTACAAAGGTTTGCTGGAGTCAGCTTGGTTCCAAGTCAACGTCATAGTATTGTATTCCACACATACAAAGCAAACATCCTTAGTAGAAAATCTCTGGAGGGCAAGCGATCACTCTCCATTTGTCCAGGAGGCAAAATCATCTTACCAGTATTATTATGTTCGGCTTCCAGTGGTATGAAACTGCTATGCAGTATGCTAAGGATGCTCAAAATGAAGTCTTAATATGAAATATTAGGAGATTACATCCTTGAGGGGCAGCTTTCCCTGAAATTAGCATGGAGAAACTTAAAAGCAAGGTGAATGTAGGGCAGATCGTTTGAAAGTCAGCCTAGCCTTTGAATTTCAGAATTGATGGCAACCATGGCTCATGCTCCAGGTAAAGTTTGATTCCATTTTAATAAGAGCTTCTTCTTTTTTTTAAATACTTCTGTGCAAGTAGAAGTTGAGTGAAATATGAAGCTCCTTCTTCCAGTGGTTTCACAGCACTGAGAGTTTCAGACTGTACATACACTGCAGTTTAGATCAAAGGCAGTGACTACGGAAGCAGAGGTATGCACAGTTCTGAAACAGCACAGCTGACTACCACTCCAGCTACCTTGCTCCAGTTTGCGCCCATTCTTCCCATGCTGTGCCTAAAGTGACCTGCACAAATGGAACTAACTGCCGGGAAGCCCCCTTTGAGCAGAGTTAAACAACAGATGCCGTAAGGTGATGGTGCATGTCCAAACCCACGGCAGACCATCATAAACTGCGCACAACATTATACAAAGCACAGGTTGCAGAGAAAAATGATCAGGCTCTAAGCCAGGGAGATTGTATTACCTCCAGCTATTTAAAAGCGCTTTAAAGGGACTCAGACGAATAGCTGCAAGCTTTATAAACCGTGCTGATGATGCATGGATAATGGTGTCCAGGAGATTATGGGCCTTAGCTATAACCATGACCATTGTGGATCAGAGTTGCTTGGGAAATGACTGCACCTTGTCTAACCAACTGTAAATTGGTACTCACTTATGCTCATGCATCTAGCCGAAAAGAAAGACCAGGGAACAAACCCACAAGCCTTTCTTTTTCTTTTTGCTGAAGTCAACCCAAGTTGGTTTTTCAATGGGTATGTATATAATAGATTTGGGGATAATTCAGTGTGTGTCATTTGTGTCATTTGTATCATGCACTAAAATGCATTTGTGTCATTTGTATCATGCACTAAAATGCATTTGTGTCATTTGTATCATACAAATGTCATTTGTGTCATTTGTATCATGCACAGCGCCACCCGCGTCTGGGACGCGGGTGGCGCTGTGGGTTAAACCACAGAGCCTAGGACTTGCCAATCAGAAGGTTGGCAGTTCAAATCCCCACGACGGGGTGAGCTCCCGTTGCTCGGTCCCTGCTCCTGCCAACCTAGCAGTTCGAAAGCACGTCAAAGTGCAAGTAGATAAATAAGTACCGCTGCAGCGGGAAGGTAAATGGCGTTTCCATGTGCTGCTCTGGTTTGCCAGAAGCCGTTTTGTCATGCTGGCCACATGACCCGGAAGCTGTACGCCGGCTCCCTCGGCCAATAAAGCGAGATGAGCCCCGCAACCCCAGAGTCGGTCACGACTGGACCTAATGGTCAGGGGCCCCTTTACCTTTATCATGCACTATATTGAAAAGTGAGGCAAGTCACCATTGAATGGTGAGGCAAGTCACCATTTCAATACAAGTTCAATTTAACTTGAGCACCTCCACTGAAACAGCGAAGCTTTGTAGCAATATTCAGCTGTATGTTGCCTTTTTCGGGGAAGAAGAATAAAACAGGAAAGGCCCTTTGCCTGGAAAGCTGCCAATGTTTCAAAGGAACCGTAGATCACAGAAACCTGGTCTACTCATCTCATGGTAGCCAGGAACCCAACAGGGACCACTGCTGCTGACACCTCTTCTGCAACCATTTTAAATTTCCCACAATGTCCCAGAGTGCTTGACACAGCATGACTCTAAGACACTGAAGAGAAATTAATATAGCAGTCTGCAGTGAGGCCCTGCAGTGCTCTAGATCAGTGTTACATTGGGTAGCCTGAGGCTTTGTAGGACATTTAAAATGCCACCTTCTCAGTTGCCTGCTGTTCTCACAGGGGCAGGAGTGGGATGGACATCAGTCTAGGAAGGGATCCACGCAATGGTACTGTGCCAAGGGATCCCTTAATCATGGAGCCGACCCTGGGAAGAACTATATTCGTGGCAACAAAATTTGTCAGAATGTCACTTTGTGGGATAGGAGACACCATCCTGACTCCATTTGCAAAATGGATCTCCAAGAAACCTCGCCTTCAAGTGCCGTGCTAGAGCCTAGTCATTTTCTGCTTCCAATTCCTACAAATGTTGATTTAGAATTGGTTTCCCTTGTGCAATCCTTTGTACTTGTCTTTAGAAAACAATAATCCCCCAACCTAACATTGTTTTTGTTAGCAGCATGATCCTTCAGCGTTATCAAGCCAAATCCTATTTCCAGTAGCACATAGTATCTCATAGTATGGGCTTGATAGGTTTCACTCCTTCATTCCAGTAATTCCTGAACAATATTGGATGCAGGATTGACCCCTGTGGGTAGCCTGCTTATTGCTTCCCTCAAGCTGCACAGCAATCTATTAATTCCTTCTCTTTGTGGGCAACTTGTGATGAAGCCACCACCAATCCTATTGTGGAAATCATGTCCGTGGCTGCCCAGAGTTTTTGCTGGAAACAACATGTGAGAATGCACATGGCTCTGTTAATGGAAATCTGCTCCTTGCCATTTGCACCCGTTAATTATGACCTTCTGGCAGGGTCTCATGCCATCATTGTAATTATGTGGTGCAAAGTCCCTACTGAGGGAATGATTGTGGAAACCCAGAAGGGCTTCATTTTCCAAGGCAAGTTTATGCCTTTCACTTGTAGAGAAGGGGGAGAGAATTCTCTGAGCTGCAGCTTATTTCTTTTAGCAACATTTCCCCCACTGAAGAATGGCTGATGTGCTTTAAGCAGATTGAGACTTTATTAGCATCAGTGATTGTCTGGAAAGTCAAGAGTACATGACCATTGAGACACATTAATGTGTTGTTTCATCCCGCCAGCTGAGAGCTGCTTTCTCTTTGTGGGTTTGCGTAGCTATACTGCCCTTGGCCTGAAAGATCCCCAGTCTTCTTTTTGTTGGGACAAGCAACAAAATAGTATCTGCAGCCTTTGGGTTTACAGTTTGGGGGCTAAAACCTCCATCATTTTGCCCAATTTGGATCCAGAAGACTGGTAGAGATACACCCATTGCATTGGCATCATTTAAGGTGGCCACATGTCCTAATTTTCAGATGCCAGTCTTCTGTTCAAAGATGTCCCTCTAACTGCTGTCTGGTCCAAGTCTAGTTTAAAGATCAACTGTTGTCGCCTGGACAGCAGGTAGGCAGGTCATATGGTCACAGTCTCCTCCCACCATGGTGTGATTTTTTAAAAATATCTATTTAAAATTTAATCATTGTTTCTAAATTTGCAGCTATAGGTATAAATCAGCATATGCAAATTTCATGCAACTCTGCATTCACTTTCGTCCTTTGATGATACTGATTTGTTTCCAAGCACCCAGTACATTTCCGAGCACAATTCAAAGTGTTGGTGCTGGCCTTTAAAGCCCTAAATGGCTTCAGCCCAGTATACCTGAAGAAGCATCTCCACCCCATCATTCAGCCCAGACACTGAGGTCCAGCACCAAGGGCTTTCTGGCGGTTCCCTCACTGCGAGAAGCAAAGCTACAGGGAACCAGGCAGAGGGCCTTCTCGGTAGTGGTGCCCGCCCTGTGGCATCCCATCAGATGTCAAAGAAATAAACAATGGACTTTTAGAGGACATCTGAAGGCAGCCCTATTTAGGGAAGTTTTTAATATTTGATGTTTTATTGTGTTCTTAATATCCTGTTGGAAGCTTAATATCCTGTTTTGTTTTTTGGGGAATATGCAAGTTGCAACTCTAGTGCAATTAATGGAAACTTTATGCCGCAAATGTAGGTTAGGCCACACAAAATATATACATTGTGCCTAACAAGTTGCTGCTTAGATTTCACTTACAAATGAAATTATTTATGCTCAGAGTTTTGGCCTGTCAGCCACTGTACAGTATACACCAAGGCAGTGCTCAACTGTGTTTTACTCTGAATCGACCCACATAAATTAATTATATCAGTTCCATTAATTTAAATGGGTCTACTCTAAGTAAAACATAGTTGCCTATCCCCCCCAACCTTTCCTTATGTTAACATTCTACCATACTATGCAACAGCCAGCTCTGTTTCAACTGAGGTTAAACATTACCTGCTCCTTTTACCTATCAGCACAAATATTTATGATCCCTTGCAGGTAACAGGCACCCTCGTGTTTTAATTCCATGTAACATAAATACAAAGTACTGTAATTGCTCAACTACTTAGAAACATTTATTTAAAAATAACGATGACTTGCATGGGGAAATGGCATATTTTGCTTCATGGCACTTTCTCTATCCGCATTTCCCACTTCAACCAAAGGTCTATTTAGTGGTTTGCCACTTGTACAGCTCTCCCTTTACTTTTTGGCGGCTGATCTCATGATTACAGCACAAACATTGACACCCTGCTGCCCAGATGTTGAGCAAAGCTATTCTATTTGGAAGAATGCACATTTGTTGCAGTCTGGAAATAATGGGAAAGGAAGATGTCAAATCTCACTAACTAAAGCATCCAGTTCGTGTGCAGAACTCTCCCAGAGAACAATGGATTTGTGCCACTTTCCCAGGTTTCTGAAAGACAAAGAATACAGCTGATCTATGAACAGCCCCCCCTTTTTTTTGCCTACTGCTTAGCCAACCCCAAATTAAAAAGAAATCCATAACTGGCACTGACCTTGTCACTCCTGTGAAAGACCAACACTGCTGCAGAGAGCTTCTGTCTAGTGCTCAGCAACCTGACATTAGTCCACATGTGAGTGAGCAAAATTCAGAAGTTCAGTAACAGCAAGAGATTATTATAGAAGGAACCTCTTCCTTGAGAAATCTCTGTGGTTGGTCTTTCATTCCAATGTAAGGTTTCCCGATGATGAGAGTTAAATTTATAGATTGGGAGATTTAGAATGGAGAAGGTGTTTTGATAAGAATATGGGGAAGACAGAGATTAATTACCTTTTCCTGCTGCAGGTAAAGAAAGGGATGATTTTCTGCGCTGCCTTTTAAAGAGGCAAGTGTGAAGAGCTGAAGACAAGTGCCAGGGAGGCCTCCCCCACCCAATGGCTAATAGCAGGGACGGCCAAATCTGTCAGTTGTTTCTCATCTCCCTAGTTTTAAGCTCAGTTCACCCTCCTTGGTTTTTTCCCTAATGTTGTATTTTATCACATCTTCCAAGTGTCCCTATTTTCCAGGGACAGTCCCAGATTTACAGAAGCTGCCCCAGTTTCTGATTTGAACATTAACACCCCAGCAGATCTTGCTTACCACTAGATTTCCAGAGCAGCCCCAAAGTCCTGCACAGAGCAAAACATATATCTGTGTCTGTAGCCCCCACCCAGCGTGTTTTCCAGCTCAGGAATGCACCACTCCGATTATTGTTCTACCTATCAGCCAGGTGACTGGGGTGGGAAAGCCCACCCATTTGTTTCTTTGGCAGCCTCTTTGGACTTGTAAATTGTGGTATGTAACTAGCCATACAAAGCTCCATCCTTTGATGAAGGAACTGGTTTGACAATCTTGTTCTTATACATTCAACCACACTAATCTAGGATTATAGGTTTGAAAGGGGCACAGTTTATCATCCAGACCGGGCCCCTACAAACTCATAACAATATTTATATGGAAAAACTCTGATGGGAACTTTAACATTTTCATGGTGTCTGGCAGAGCCGGGCTGTCTCAATACATTTTGCTGCCTGAAGCAAAGGGCAAGATTGCGCATTCTCCCATGGCACACACAGAAACCA